CTCAGTATCATAGTTACATGTCAACCCATCAGGTAGAACAATTTTACTCTCCTCAACATCTATAAAATCTCCAATGTAACTGTAACTTGGTGGCAAGGCTCTGATTAGATATCTTAATTTGTTGTAAAGATAAAATCAAAATAAATCAAGTCAAGGCTAGTTTAATGGAAAGGTTTGCAATGAAGGACATGGGCAAAATTAGCCAATATATAGGCATTGATATAGATTACAGTAATGATAGACACAAAATGACCTTAAGTCAAACTAAATATATTGAATCTTTGGCTGCGAAATATAATCTGGAGAATGCCAAACTATATGACCCTCCAATGGAGACTAATTTAAAATTAGATCAAGCTAGTCAAATAGACGAACAAATAAAGTACAGAAACTTGATAGGAGAACTATTATATATAAGCTCAGGCACAAGGCCAGATATATCGTACAGCGTCAATTATTTAAGTCGATATCAGAGTTGCTACGATCAAACTCACTATAAGTATGCGATGCGAGTCTTGAAATATTTGTACAAAACTAAAGACTTGAAACTAACATATTGTGATAATGTAAACAGCGAAACACTAGATTGTATGGTAGATTCCGATTTCGCGGGCGATAATGTAGATAGAAAATCCACAAGTGGATACGTAATTAGGTTGTATGGTAATGTAATTTTTTGGAAAACCCACAAACAAGGTGCGGTAACAAAATGTTCAACTTTTGCAGAATATGTAGCTTTATCAGAGGCAGTCTCTGAAATATTGTTTATTAGAAATTTGTTAAGAGAATCTTTCGATATAGATTTACATGAACCAACAACTATTTGCGAAGATAATTCTGGAGCAATCGCGATCGCAAAATTCGGAAATTTCACTCCAAACTCAAAGCACATCGAAGTGCAATATCATTATATAAATGAAAACTACGAAAAGGGCGAAATAGATATTGTGAAAGTTGACTCCAAATGTAATTTAGCAGACATCTTCACAAAGAGTCTAGACAAGACAAAGTTTCTAAACAATAGAAAAGGTTTAAGATTAATCTAAAATGTCCATACAAAGTCCAAGTTCAATTGTAAATCAAGGTCACTTGAAATGCTCTTAATTCAATTAATGTAAAATGCGATGACAAATTGTATGCGAAATCGAAAATTCAAATGTATCGAATTAATGTAAAATATCACGACTTTGTAAATTCAGGAGGCGTGTTGTAATATGTGAATTTATCATATTCGTGATTTCCAAAATGGTACTCGTCGCGCCATCTACTGGTTATACTTGATTTCGTGCAACGAGACAAGCTCGTACCTATATATTCTAAGCACATTCTTTTGTCTTTTCCTGTCTGTATTACTCCGAGCTCAACTGACGCCTTACCGACTATGGCTTATACATTTAAATATATTCTTTATTAATAAGTAAAAATGTTTATTGATTCACACAATCCAACACCCTCATTGCGCTCTGCGTCTGTTCGGCAGACCTCGCCGCGAGAGTCAAACTTGCAAAATCGGTAAATTCCCTTCGCGACACGGCTTGCTGCAATCGCGGAACCATATGTTCGTGGGTACACGTTAATTGATCTACCAAAGGCCACGGTGGTCGTAATCGACTCAACAACGCGCGCTAGCATGTAATAAAATCCACAACGCGTTGATGTTCTCCCTGGGTTCGATTCGCGATCTCGCGTCGTAAAGCGCTTTGCAATTCGTGGTCAATAAACCGTGACCGATACGCGTTTTTAAATTCCTCCCACGTTGTCCAATTCTCGTCTCGAAATCTAGCCCATTCAGCCGCGATACCGGATAAAACAAGCGGAACGCATCTCAATAGTTCGTCATCGGGGGTTGCTGCGTAGGCGTGACATTCCTCTATTTGCATTAGGAACATTTCGGGTGCCTCCCCCCTAGCTCCGGAAAACCGAATGTTACATTTTCTCAATAGATTCAATACCGCGGTGTTCAAGACTATACCATGTCCCATGGGTCCCGGTACTCGTTCCCTCATCCCTACGGTGGCACGAGGAACGCTATCTTGTACGACGACCTCCGATCTAGGGATTTTTTCCGACCGCGATTGCCGAGACGCCCTTATCCACGATGGTTCAAAACGGGAAATATTCGGTATCGAAATGTTCGGCGATGTTTCGGTGCGTTGCGATTACTTTTCTATTGGTAATTCGGCCGGTAACGCGCGAGAGTCGGTGTTGGTAGCGTTTTCCCCTCCCTCGTTACGTTTAGGTGAGCCGTTGGTCGGTAAGGCAGTTGCCTGTTCTAACCGAGTCGCGCCTAAGACGTCGCTTCGAGGGGGGG